AAAAAATTCTTTCTAACGTCTCTGTGGCTCATCTGGTTACTAAGTTTCCACCTGTCCCCCTTGTGCGTGTGCTACCCGTGTTAAATAATCCATCCTTGTCCACCCTGTCAATTCCCCTGAGAATTTTGTATGTAGTAATCATGTCTTCCCTAGCTCTTCTGTCTTCCAGCGACGTGAGGTGCAGTTCACGTAGTCTGTCCACATAAATCATGCCTCTTAGTTCTGGGACTAGTCTAGTGGCATACCTCTGAACTTTTTCCAGCTTCGTCTTGTGCTTGACTACATACGGACTCCATGCTGGGGCGGCATACTCCAGGATTGGCCTTACATATGTGATATACAAAGTTCTGAAGGATTCCTTACACAGGTTTCTGAAAGCAGTTCTGATGTTAGCCAGCCTCGCATAGGCCGCTGATGTTACTCTTTTGATGTGGGCTTCGGGAGACAGGTTTAGCGTGATATCAACTCCCAGATCTTTCTCTTTGTCCGTTTCGTGAAGGACTTCATCTCCCATTCGGTATCCAGTGACTGGACTTCTAGTTCTTCCTCCTAGTTTCATTACCTTGCATTTACTTGGGTTGAACTTCAGTAGCCATTTGTCGGACCACTCCTTCAGTTTGTCTAGATCATCTTGTAGCATCATACTATCCTCCTCTGTCCTGATCCTCCTCAATATTTTTGCATCAGCAAACATCGAGAGGAACGAGTCAATTCCTTCTGGGAGATCATTTACGTATATCAGAAACAGTATAGGTCCAAGAACTGATCCCTGTGGGACTCCACTGGTGACTCTCCGCCACTCCGAGACCTCACCTCTCACGGTGACTCGCTGTGTCCTGTTGCTTAGGTACTCTCTTATCCAGTGGAGTACCTTCCCTTTCACTTCTGCCTGCATCTCCAGTTTGTGCACTAATCTCTTATGTGGAACTGTGTCAAAAGCTTTCTGGCAGTCCAGAAATATGTAGTCTGCCCAGCCCTCTCTCTCTTGTCTGATTTTTGTTGCCTGGTCATAGAACTCAATTAATCCTGTTAGGCATGATTTGCCATCTCTGAACCCATGCTGATGTTGTGTTACAAAGTTCCTTTGCTCCAGATGTTCCACTAACTTTTTTCGCACATTCTTCTCCATCATCTTACATGGAATACAAGTTAGGGACACTGGGCTGTAGTTCAGTGCCTCCTGCCTATCACCGTTCTTGTAAATTGGGATTACATTGGCCGTCTTCCAAATTTTTGGCAGTTCACCTGTTACCAGTGACTTGTTGTACACCATGAAGCGTGGTAGGCACAGAGCTTCTGCTCCTTTCTTTAGAATCCATGGTGAGATTCCATCCGGGCCTATAGCCTTTGTCACATCCAAATCTAGCAGATGCTTCCTCACCTCCCCACTGGTAATCACAAACTCCTCTAGTTGTGTCTGGGTTGATGTTCCCTCCCTTATCTCTGGGACGTCTCCTTGCTCTGGTGTGAAGACTTCCTGGAATTTCTAATCTAGTTCTTCGCGCACTTGTTTGTAGTGAATCTTTCTGCCCCTATCCTCAGTTTCATTACCTGTTCCTGCACTGATGTTTTCCTCCTAATGTGGCTATGCATCAGTTTGGGTTGAGTCTTTGCCTTGCTCGCTATGTCATTTTCATATTGCCTCTCTACCTCTCTTCTCACCCTGACGTATTCATTTCTGGCGCTCTGGTATCTTTCTCTGCTCTCTAGTGTTCTGTTGTTTCTATAGTTTCTCCACGCCCTTTTACTTAGCTGCTTTGCTAGCTTGTAACTCTGATTAAACCATGGGTTTCTCATCTCCATTTCATTTTTTTTCTTTTGGACTGGGACGAACCTGTCTGCTGCCTCCTTACACTTCTGTGTGATGAAGTCCATCATGTCTTGAACCGTCTTTCCTCTGAACTGTTTCCCAAGCTATTTCAGTTAGGAATTTTCTCATCTCATAGTTTCCCTTCCGGATTCCGGCCTTTTGCTTTCTGGTCCCTTCCTTGAGTACATTAACCCTTCTTCGACCAGATATTCAAACAACAGTACACTGTGATCACTCATACCCACGGGGGCTTCAAGACCGATTTCCCTTATGTCTGAATCGTTCAGAGTGAAAACTAGGTCGAGTCTTGCTGGTTCATCATTGCCTCTCATTCTCGTGGGATCCTTGACATGCTGACTTAAAAAGTTTCTAGTCGCCACCTCCAGCAGTTTCGCTCCCCATGTTTCCTCACCTCCATGTGGTTCCCTGTTTTCCCAGTCTATCCTTTCATGATTAAAGTTCCCCCATGATGAGCAGATGGGATCAATTTCTACAGGCAGCAGCGGCTGCTCTCTCCATGATAATGTTAACTGCCATGTTGTTTCTGTCATACTCTTGCCTGGGTCTTTTTTTCATTTGGTGGGGGGTATATATCACTGCTACTACTACTCTTGGTCCTCCCATCGTCATGGTGCCTGTGATGAAGTCTCTGTACCCATCGCAGGCTGGAATAACCATCTCGAAACTCCATTCCTTTCTCATCAGTAGAGCCACTCCGCCTCCTCCCCGTCCTGCCCTCTCTTTCCCTATTACAGTGTAGTCCTGGGGAAACACTGCATTCGTTATGATTCCTGAGAGTTTTGTTTCTGTGAGTCCAATTACGTCTGGGATTACGTCTTGTGTTCTTTCCCTAAGTTCACTGACATTGTTTGTAATCCCATCTATGTTCGTGTCATGACCTTGAAGCTGACTGTCTTCTGTCCCTTCTCAGTTTCTGTTGATTCCACTGGAGTTGGGGGTCAAGGGATGTCTGGGGTGGGTGAGCCTAGGAAGGGGAACCTGGGGGGTCTGGGGTGTGAGGAGGCTGGGAGGATCTGGTACAGGGGGGGCTAGGGGGTCTGACGTGATACGGCTGAGGGGATCTGGGGTTGGGGGTTAGTTGGGGCATAGGATGTGGAACCTGGAGGGGCATGTGGTGGGAGGTCACGGGTTGGGGGTACTCAGGGTAGACTGGGATGGGTTTACAGGGAGGTCAGAGGTTGGGGAGGGGAGACTGGGGAGGGGGGAGAGGTAGGGAGGAAAGCTTGGGGTGGGGAAACTGGGAAGGGCATGAGGTGCAGGAACAGTGAGGATCTGGGGTAGGGGTTGGGGAAGAAAGAGGGCATGGGGGGAACATGGGGGGTCTGGGGTGTGTGTACGTGTGTGTGTGTACCTGTGTGTGTGTACCTGTGTGTGTGTACGTGTGTGTGTGTGTACGTGTGTGTGTACGTGTGTGTATGTAGAAACTTGGAATTGTGAGAACTCAGTCTACATCCCGCGCCGCCAACCTGCTGCTTCATTTTGGTGAAAAACAACAAAATATCCGCCATTTTAAATCGGAATTTAGATTGAAAATAAAATGTAAAAATCTTGAAAGCAAATTACATCATCAGACATGCAAACTGTCAAACCCCTGAAGCTAAAAATTGGGTTAAAATCGGAGAGTGTGAGACAGTGTTGGTATGGGGGTCGGAAGGGGTCAGGTGGAGTCAGATGGGGTCATATGGGGTCAGATGGGGTCATATGGGGTCAGATGGGGTCATATGGGTAAGAGACAGGGCAGGGAAAATATCACCAAGCAAGGGTGGCCGGGTCAGTTGTCCGGGGCGTCGTAGACGAGCGGGAGGATGACTGCTCAATATATAGTGAAGGAAGGTCCTATTGAAGTGGGTGGTTGGTCCAGTAGAAGAGGTGGTTGGTCCAGTACAGGATGTGGTTGGTCCAGTAGAGGAGGGGGTTGGTCCAGTAGAAGAGGGGGGTTGGTCCAGTAGAAGAGGTGGTTGGTCCAGTAGAAGAGGTGATTGGTTCAGTAGAAGAGGGGGGTTGGTCCAGTAGAAGAGGGGGGGTTGGTCCAGTAGAAGAGGGGGGTTGGTCCAGTAGAAGAGGGGGGTTGGTCCAGTAGAAGAGGGGGGTTGGTCCAGTAGAAGAGGTGATTGGTCCAGTAGAGGATGTGGTTGGTCCACTAGAAGAGGTGATTGGTCCAGTAGAGGATGTGGTTGGTCCAGTAGAGGAGGGGTTGGTCCAGTAGAAGAGGGGTGTTGGTCCAGTAGAAGAGGTGGTTGGTCCAGTAGAAGAGGGGTGTTGGTCCAGTAGAAGAGGTGGTTGGTCCAGTAGAAGAGGTGGTTGGTCCAGTAGAAGAGGGGGATGGCCCAGTAGAAGAGGGGGGTTGGTCCAGTAGAAGAGGGGGGTTGGTCCAGTAGAAGAGGGGGGTTGGTCCAGTAGAAGAGGTGGTTGGTCCAGTAGAGGATGTGGTTGGTCCAGTAGAAGAGGGGGGTTGGTCCAGTAGAAGAGGGGGGTTGGTCCAGTAGAAGAGGTGGTTGGTCCAGTAGAAGAGGTGGTTGGTCCAGTAGAAGAGGGGGGTTGGTCCAGTAGAAGAGGGGGGTTGGTCCAGTAGAAGAGGTGGTTGGTCCAGTAGAAGAAGTGGTTGGTCCAGTAGAAGAGGGGGGATGGTCCAGTAGAAGAGGGGGGATGGTCCAGTAGAAGAGGGGGGATGGTCCAGTAGAAGAGGGGGGTTGGTCCAGTAGAAGAGGTGATTGGTCCAGTAGAGGATGTGGTTGGTCCAGTAGAAGAGGTGATTGGTCCAGTAGAGGATGTGGTTGGTCCAGTAGAGGAGGGGGTTGGTCCAGTAGAAGAGGGGTGTTGGTCCAGTAGAAGAGGGGTGTTGGTCCAGTAGAAGAGGTGGTTGGTCCAGTAGAAGAGGTGGTTGGTCCAGTAGAAGAGGGGGGATGGCCCAGTAGAAGAGCGGGGTTGGTCCAGTAGAAGAGGGGGGTTGGTCCAGTAGAAGAGGGGGTTGGTCCAGTAGAAGAGGTGGTTGGTCCAGTAGGGGATGTGGTTGGTCCAGTAGAAGAGGGGGGTTGGTCCAGTAGAAGAGGGGGTTGGTCCAGTAGAAGAGGGGGGTTGGTCCAGTAGAAGAGGGGGGTTGGTCCAGTAGAAGAGGTGGTTGGTCCAGTAGAAGAGGTGGTTGGTCCAGTAGAGGAGTTGGTTCCTCCAGTTGAAGAGGTGGTTGGTCCAGTTGAAGAGGAGGTTGGTCCAGTAGAGGTGGTGGTTGGTCCAGTAGAGGAGGTGGTTGGTCCAGTAGAAGAGGTGGTTGGTCCAGTAGAAGAGGTGGTTGGTCCAGTACAGGAGGTGGTTGGTCCAGTACAGGAGGTGGTTGGTCCAGTAGAGGTGGTGGTTGGTCCAGTAGAAGAGGTGGTTGGTCCAGTAGAAGAGGTGGTTGGTCCAGTAGAAGAGGTGGTTGGTCCAGTAGAAGAGGTGGTTGGTCCAGTAGAAGAGGTGGTTGGTCCAGTAGAAGAGGTGGTTGGTCCAGTAGACGAGGTGGTTGGTCCAGTAGAAGAGGTGGTTGGTCCAGTAGAAGAGGTGGTTGGTCCAGGAGAAGAGGTGGTTGGTCCAGTAGAAGAGGTGGTTGGTCCAGTAGAAGAGGTGGTTGGTCCAGTAGACGAGGTGGTTGGTCCAGTACAAGAGGTGGTTGGTCCAGTAGAAGACCAACGAATGAATGAGGAGGGCATGCCCAATCTTTCAGACCGTCGGGAATCGAACGCAAACTTGCAAGAAGCGAGATATTAAGCGCTATACCCACCAGTCCAAGTGACTGAGTATCGCAGAGAGACTTGTGGCAGGAACTAGAGCTAGAGGTCCCCTGGCAAACTATATATATAAACTCAAAATAAAATTGTTGACGTTGCTATCCGAGTGTTTTCATTTGTAGTTGGCGGAGATATGGATGGCGAGTGTAAACATTGTGACTGTGTGGTGGTGGTGACTGGCCAGGCGGGTAACTGGCCTACAACAGGTCACTGCTCCTGTGTGGGACAAGCGGCGGCTCCACACAACACTATTATGTGCGTATATCGTTGGTATAACTGGTAGATATACCTGTCACTGGTACGGTGGTATAGCTGGTGGATATACCTGTCACTGGTACGGTGGTATAACTGGTGGATATACCTGTTACTGGTACGGTGGTATAACTGGTAGATATACCTGTCACTGGTACGGTGGTATAGCTGGTGGATATACCTGTCACTGGTACGGTGGTATAACTGGTGGATATACCTGTTACTGGTACGGTGGTATAACTGGTAGATATACCTGTTACTGGTACAGTGGTATAACTGGTGGATATACCTGTTACTGGTACGGTGGTATAACTGGTACATATACCTGTCACTGGTACGGTGGTATAACTGGTAGATATACCTGTCACTGGTATGAGTATATATAGCGTCTGGACACAGACACACCTGGTGCTGTAAGATGAACAGAAACAGTGTATCAGAGGGAAATATTCCAGCTATAGATGATTATTTTGATATATTTAACTGTATTAAAACTGCCACAGTACTGAAGGTCTCAGGATGAATGGAATGGGTTAGGGGAGGGATGGGTTAGGGGAGGGATGGGTTAGGAGAGGGATGGGTTAGGGGAGGGATGGGTTAGGAGAGGGATGGGTTAGGAGAGGGATGGGTTAGGAGAGGGATGGGTTAGGCGAGGAATGGGTTAGGAGAGGGATGGGTTAGGAGAGGGATGGGTTAGGCGAGGAATGGGTTAGGAGAGGGATGGGTTAGGTGAAGGGTGGGTTACGGCCCTACTGGGGCGTAACCGGGTTCTTTTCTGGTGTTATTAGAATTTGGGAATCCGGCCCCAAGTTAGTAGTGGCTTTCAAGGGGTGCGTTCCGTAACACAAGTAAATTAAAGGGGAAGGGATACAAATGCACTAATTTAAATATATTATTTCACCACCACCATAAATAAATATAACACAGTCACACGGGGTTATAAATACACTCTAATGTACAGAATTGTCTTCCTCTGAAGACATAGGATGCTCCACGGAGCTCACGATGAGTAGCCCCGGTCCTCTTCTTTGGCCTACGATGAATCCTCTGATTCTCTCGGCGAATCTACCCTGGTCACAGGCCAGCCAAATTACAGTCCCACTGGGTGCACCGTCGTGGAGGCCTTCAACCACAATCCAGCCTGTACTGGCAGGTTCCGATCAGCTCCGCTGTGTAGGCCACTCCACGACCGATACTAGGGTTGCGAGCCCTAGGCAGGAGCCTCGTGTGATCCCGCTGATCACTCTCCTCTCTATAGCACCACAGTGGCTAGTCTCTTCCACCTGCCAACCCCCGGGTACGACGATTCCTCAACTCTGCCACGTCATAGGCAGGCTAACACTCTCAGCAGTGTTCGTCCGGGAGCAACTCACAGCTTCTTCAGCAAACACGTGGAGAGACTATGGCTGCCTTGGGTAGACTGCCCCACCATCCATTACAGCAGTCCCAGGTCGACTCTGTAATCAGACACATCATCAGCACTGGTTACACTCTAGGGCACCTCACTTACAGACTTAGACACAAACGTCCACCTATCCACTCTATAGATGGCATTGGTGTCTAAGCGCCACCTCACCAGAGGTCAGCAGCGGCTACGTTACGAGCTGATTCAGATGGGAAACCAGCCCCAATGGCTGGTATATCCCGTCCTCGCTAGATGGCGCTGTCCATTTGGAGGAGGTTTCGGGAGCAGACTCACAGATGGCGATGTCGTCACTGGTCCGTGCTCGGACGCTGGACTCGGGTCCGTAACAGGAGAGGGACGGGTTAGGCGGGGGACGGGTTAGGCGGGGGACGGGTTAGGCGAGGGACGGGTTAGGCGAGGGACGGGTTAGGCGGGGGACGGGTTAGGCGGGGACGGGTTAGGCGGGGGACGGGTTAGGCGGGGGACGGGTTAGGCGGGGGACGGGTTAGGAGGGGGACGGGTTAGGGGAGGGACGGGTTAGGCGAGGGACGGGTTAGGCGGGGGACGGGTTAGGCGGGGGACGGGTTAGGCGGGGGACGGGGGAGGGGGGTTTGGGTTAGGAGGGGGATGGGTTAGGAGAGGGGTGGGTTAGGCGAGGGGTGGGTTAGGCGAGGGATGGGTTAGGAGAGGGATGGGTTAGGAGAGGGATGGGTTAGGAGAGGGATGGGTTAGGAGATGGATGGGTCCGGTGGGAATGTTATTGGATATGATACAGGGATGGTGAAATAATATTTTTTGGTCTGATTTGAGAGCAAAATATAAATATTGAGTGAAATAGGGAAAAGTTCTGGCCATAGATGACCGAACTGAACTTTTCTAAACCTTATAGCAAAATATAGTGCGATGCTGGTATATTATAGCTATATAGGGGGGTCGAGGATGGCATGACCTAGGTTATGTGTGGAGTAAATGGAGATAAATTTATACTGGTGAAATTAGAATCTTCATGGTATAAAGATAAAATATTTATAGCGTGGGAATGTTTGTAGTTAAATTGTTAAAAGTTGTGTAGTTTATGACGCTGGAGAAGTATTGAACTGTAAAAGTGGTGTATAGGTTTCGCATTTTTATTTTAAATTTTGTAGTTTGTCAGAAAAATAAAATGTTTGGAAAAGTTGTGTGCAGTTTTAGAATTGCTTTGAACATTTTTAGTTTTAAGTTAGCTGAACGCTGCGTTGTGGGAGAAGTAATACATTGATCAGAGATTGTATGGAAGGGGAGAGGAGAGATACACGAACTTTATGAATAATTAAAGCAAAAGTATAGTGAGAGGGGATATGATCACGACATACATGAAGGGAACATGTAAAGTGGCTGTGGAAGGTCTCTTTAAGCTGAGAGAGAAGTAGAGTTGAGGATATATATATTGATGCTGGAAATCCTAAATGAGACTTGGAGAAATACTTGATTATCTCTCATTCTATCTGTCTCCCCTATCTCCTCCCCCTTCCCTCAGTCCCTCCCTCTACCCCTTGACCTGTATTGTTATATCCATTATATTATAGCAGAATAACGAGGTAGTTATATTTTAGGTGTGTTCAGGAAGGGTTAGAAGCCAGTGTTGGTGCCTCCGCCGAAATAGACAAAACGCCTTCAACCTCACTACATTCAGGAAAAATACCAGTGTCTGAAATGACTTTTGCCGAGCCACCTCTCCAACGGGCTCACCATTGCCCGTGCTACTTGGAACTCTTAGTTTCAGGTAGCGAATTTTAAACAACAGCAACTCCTTGCAGAATGGTCACTTGCCGTATGAGCGACAGCTCACTGTGGGGTATTTTGGTGCAAGAGTTTGAGCAACAGCACAGTGCCCAAGTGAACTGTGCCGGAGTACTGGTCATGTTTAACGCAACTTGCTGGTCCACACCAATAGTGCCTTATGGGAAGATTTATAAGAGGTAAAGGGGCTTACAGATCCGACCATGTGTAATTAAACTGTTTATTGTTTAAAGATATGCTATTCCTTCGTATATATTTTATGTAAAATATTAGTATTGTTACTAGCTCTGGTGAGGGACCGTACCCTATAACTGCATTTATACGATATGAATCACTATACGGCTTCCTTATCACTGCGTAATTACAAAATATTACAGCAATTCCAATGGGGACACTCAGGACAAGTTTTCATGCACAAACAAAATAATGTCCTACACATGGTGTGTAGCTACACATGGGGTGTAGCTACACATGGGGTGTAGCTACACATGGGGTGTAGCTACACATGGGGTGTAGCTATACATGGGGTGTAGCTACATGGGGTGAAATAATCACTTAGGTGCGCTGCCGAGCGGCACTCACAGAAGTCAACATTTAAGCTGGACACGTAAGACTTACAGTCAGGGCCTCTCCAGGCTTGCACTCGGGGGGACCTCTCCAGGCTTGCACTCGGGGGGACCTCTCCAGGCTTGCACTCGGGGGGGCCTCTCCAGGCTTGCACCCGGGGGGACCTCTCCAGGCTTGCACTCGGGGGGACCTCTCCAGGCTTGCACTCGGGGGGACCTCTCCAGGCTTGCACTCGGGGGGACCTCTCCAGGCTTGCACTCGGGGGGGCCTCTCCAGGCTTGCACTCGGGGGGGCCTCTCCAGGCTTGCACTCGGGGGGACCTCTCCAGGCTTGCACTCGGGGTCTCTCCAGGCTTGCACTCGGGGTCTCTCCAGGCTTGCACTCGGGGCCTCTCCAGGCTTGCACTCGGGGGGGCCTCTCCAGGCTTGCACTCGGGATCCTCTCCAAGCTTTGCACTCAGGGCCTCTCCAGGCTTGCACTCGGGGGGAGGGCTCTCCAGGCTTGCACTCGGGGGGGGGGCTCTCCAGGCTTGCACTCGGGGGGGGCTCTCCAGGCTTGCACTCGGGGGGGCTCTCCAGGCTTGCACTCGGGATCCTCTCCAGGCTTTGCACTCGGGGGGGGGGGGCTCTCCAGGCTTGCACTCGGGGGGGGGGGCTCTCCAGGCTTGCACTCGGGGGGGGGGGGGGCTCTCCAGGCTTGCACTCGGGGGGGGGGGGCTCTCCAGGCTTGCACTCGGGAGGGGGGGGGGGCTCTCCAGGCTTGCATTCGGGATCCTCTCCAGGCTTTGCACTTAGGGCCTCTCCAGGCTTGCGTATTCTAATGCCTACGTATTCAAGGAGTTTGTCAGTGAATCACACGGTTCTATCAGGTGGATCACCACGAGTGAGACAACTGTCGCACAAAATCAATAGTACGTCACTTTACACCAGCACACACACACGCTGGCACGTCTCCTGCTCCTCTGCTCCCCCAGCACA